TTTAGTAAACAAAAATGTAATTGTATTGGTGTAACTAGTTCAAAACGCAAATTGTTAGTGTTAATTTATGGTTTCTACTGTCTATTTTCTTTTTGTAATGAAGTGATATCTCATAAAATACAATTTATTTCAAAATGAATGGGTACACAGCACATTTTTTACCAGAATTGAAGTAGTGTAACACAATTATTCTAGCCGAACAAAGTAATTTATCGATTTTAAAAAGGCTACTAAAACTTTTAGGGCTGAAGGTATCTGAAGAGAGTCGCGCATCGACCTGGCCCAGTCTAGGATTGGTTTTCCTCCAACGGTGAGTCCGCGGATGGAATCGTTTATAATTGGGACAATCAAAATTGACAAAGTTTGCGATAAATAATCTTTGAGAATTGACATCTTCCTTTCTATTTCCACTTGGGACTGTAGCCATTTGCTGCATTTTGAACACGCCCTTGTTAAGATAAGAAACGCTTTATAACTTCCTGGTTGGAATTATTTCTTTAAACAAGCGTTTTTGCTTTCCTAAATTCTTGAGAATATTGAAGTTTCTTTAGAATCCGATACTGACAACATGCTCAAACTTTGCTTGTCTGCATCTCTTTCTGTTACATAATAATATGTAACCTGTACCTGACATCTCTTTTCTATGTTTACGATATTCCCTACAACGTCCGTCGTGAGTAAAAGTAGACATTCTGTTAGCAACCTCTCTAGTCAAGTTTTTTAAAAATAAAAAATTTCGGAAACCAGATTGCCAACGCTGGGCTAATAATATTTTTAGTTTTATACCTATGCTTGAGAAATGGGAACCCGGTTTGGATTCGGTACCCGGCGGCACTGTTTTTTTTAGGATCCGGTTGGATAGGGGTCGCATACCCGGCATTCTGTACCCGGCAAAATCACTATCCGGTGCATTTGCACTAATTTAAAATATGAACTATAATGTGGCATATTTTTTATTGCATTGTATTGAGCATATTTAGCAAGTAACACTAGCTGCTTCCTAAATTTTTATACCGGGTTGTCCTACTTCTAAACGTTTTATATTCTGCTACATATTTATATTTCTAATTTCTTTGCCTTTCATTTGTAATGAAGAAAAAAAAGCTTGCCTTGGGTTGAGTAATAAGTTAGAGTAATAGCAGTAAATAATCATTATTTCTATTGTTTGATAACATCTTAATAAAAAACGTATACGTTATGTACGAATGGCTTCATATATCATTCTCAGCCACAATGAGATGATAAGAAGTTAGGNCTGTGTTTGTTGATATTTTGACATTGATTTTTTTAAACTGGAATTTTTCTTCACACTTTCGCACAATTCGGAAAATGAATTATTCATTGCATTTTTGTTTGAAGTGTAAAAAAACGCGTAATATTGTGGCCTTCGAACAAATTAAATCATACGAACGTGTGGGATGGAGACATCAAGCAGACGTAGACAATAATGTGAAAAGAAATTGCGTCGCATCACTTGGACCATCTATTTTTTGGGTAATTAACATGCACGTTTACAGATTTCATATGTAAATGTTTATGGACAGTCGCAGCCGCTACTTAGAGTCAAAACGAAGTGCAACCGAAGAAATATGATAGTGAGGACGAATCTAAAGATTATGAACATAAAAAAGTAGGATTTGTTTAAAGTGAGATTACTACAGGGTATTTTCATGAAAATTGTTCTAAATTATTTCACCCGCATGAAATTATTTTTAATTGTACCTATATAAAAANTTCCTAAATTCTTGAGAATATTGAAGTTTCTTTAGAATCCGATACTGACAACATGCTCAAACTTTGCTTGTCTGCATCTCTTTCTGTTACATAATAATATGTAACCTGTACCTGACATCTCTTTTCTATGTTTACGATATTCCCTACAACGTCCGTCGTGAGTAAAAGTAGACATTCTGTTAGCAACCTCTCTAGTCAAGTTTTTTAAAAATAAAAAATTTCGGAAACCAGATTGCCAACGCTGGGCTAATAATATTTTTAGTTTTATACCTATGCTTGAGAAATGGGAACCCGGTTTGGATTCGGTACCCGGCGGCACTGTTTTTTTTAGGATCCGGTTGGATAGGGGTCGCATACCCGGCATTCTGTACCCGGCAAAATCACTATCCGGTGCATTTGCACTAATTTAAAATATGAACTATAATGTGGCATATTTTTTATTGCATTGTATTGAGCATATTTAGCAAGTAACACTAGCTGCTTCCTAAATTTTTATACCGGGTTGTCCTACTTCTAAACGTTTTATATTCTGCTACATATTTATATTTCTAATTTCTTTGCCTTTCATTTGTAATGAAGAAAAAAAAGCTTGCCTTGGGTTGAGTAATAAGTTAGAGTAATAGCAGTAAATAATCATTATTTCTATTGTTTGATAACATCTTAATAAAAAACGTATACGTTATGTACGAATGGCTTCATATATCATTCTCAGCCACAATGAGATGATAAGAAGTTAGGTACAAAAAGTATATGTACATATATTTATGCCTAGTTAAAGCTGCGTTTTAATTAATATTCGTAATTCATAATTGTTCAATTTCAAAAAAATTCTCATTATTAAAAACAACAATTGAATTGTGTATATATTTGAATAATTAATTAGCGGAATTTAATTAGTAGTTGGAATGAGCTTTTGAGTTTTTAAGAATTTGTGAATATTCTAACATAAAATTGAAATAGTATTTATAATTTCTACACATTTGTTAACTCACACGTTTGTCACTGTTAAAAAATTAGCTAGTTGAAAAGAATAAATTATTTTGTTTTCCTTTGCTATTAATCTTTCCGAGTGTCGCACAGAATGATTAGTGATTTGAAAATCACGTATTATTGACTTCAAAAAGTTAGGTTTTCCTTTACTTCGTTCTCTCTTGCATATCAACATTTTTGTTTTATAAAGGCATATAGGCTTTCACGGCCGGCGTCATCTAAACTATTATAATCTTGCGGGATTTCGGGCAGTGGTCTAGAGGCTAGTTTGTTGCTGTCTAACGTTTCGTCAACGACTGTGGTTGACATCTTCAGAGGTATTGCGGACGGCAGAGTAGATTTCTATCTCGAAGTGTTCTTCTCTGCTGTCTGCTACACACGACATCAACAAACCAACTTCTAGACTACGGTTCTAAAGCCTGAAAGACTATAATAGTTTAGATTTTTAATTTATTTTCATACCACTCTCAATATCGCTTCCACTTTATTTAAGACTATGTCTAATTTCCTTTGCGAGATGCTAACACCTATCTCTTTACATCTATTCCTATGCTATCCTCTTTTAATGATTTTAATCGCGTCTTCGTTATTTGTTCATACATATAGATAAAAGAAGCGGTTACAATGTGTAAAAATATGTAACATCCCTTTCTTGATATTTACTTGGTTACTTTGCTGCTCAAATTCGATAATTGCCTGCTCCTCATTAATTTTATTTAAATAATTTTAAGGAATGCTTCATAATTTTTCTCATCATAAGTTCTATTGAACGTATTAATATATGTATAGGTAGGTACTACCTTTGTGATCATTACTTTGAATAGGTTATTATGAGTATTAATTTCTTTGACTAGCAGGGACACCTCGTAGTTAACACCTTTGTCCAGTCTGTACCTTCTATTTAATAAGGAGGCAATATTAAATTTATTTTTGACAAAATATTGTTTGTCAAAATTACCTAGGTATTTATGCGAAAAAAAACTCAGAAATGCAACGTAACACCTTCATCTACTCATGTCTTCTATTAACATATTCACAGAGCACTCAATAGATTACAGTTCTCCTAAAAGTTAATTACATATTGTTTTTAGGAACGCTTTGGCGCAACTGAAAGTAGCGATTTATTCGAATAGACTGTAACATAAACGCATAAAATGTATAGACAAATATATGCAGTTTAAATACGTAAAATTTTAAAGCCCTGAATCAGCCTGATGATTCCGGATTCGTTATTTTTTTGTTTTCAAGCACACTGCGAAGTATAATTCACGACCTCGAACCCGAACTTGCCCTCCCAAATTTGGAAAGTCGAGGACAACTACGTTGGCGATTTTCCCGCTATAGACGACCAAAGTTTACCTATGCATATTAAATTTAAGCAGTTGGTGAATGTTAAACTACTAACAACGAACTTTTAATTCTTTAACAGTAATTTTTTGCATAGCATGTGAAAACTAACGTTTTAAACAAGGTTTAGAACGTTTATATCCATACATATATGCCACGATTGTTTGTGAAACAATGCAGGTATAACGTAATTTCACCAATTATGAAAATGTAAAATACTAATTTTATTCTGTTTGCTCTTTAGTATTAACATTATGTAAACCACTAATTATGTATCAACTCCATATTAATGTGCATAAATGTTACAAAGTTACTTCTTACATCTTCATTTCATACTATTTGAAATTTTAATGAAATATAAGACTTAATTAAAGCCATTTTAAAGGGTTCTCTTAAAATAAATTTGTACAATTCGGACGTGTAAATTAGGTATATTATTAAAATTTAGAAAAATTTAAATATTCCCTCAACTTTTTAAATTCGTATTAACTTATAACGTAACTGTAAATGTACTTCAAGAGTATTTACGAAAAACTTAATCTTAAAGATGTTATAATTCAGTTATTTAAAATTTTGTACGATAATTAGAATTTTTTAAGACTTTTCGAATATACATTTGATGTTTTGAACTAAGAACAGATGAGCAATCAAATACTAACCGCGAAAGCCTATTTTTAAACACGAAAAATTGACTCTTAATCCTCAAGGTAGCCCCATAATTCTCACGGGTGTAGTTATAAAACATACATTGTGCAGTAAATGCAATTGTACATAATGGTGCAAATTTTAGAATTAATTTATAAATGTTAATTAGTTTACTTTGTGGCATCAATTGATTGACAACTAAAGGTAATTTTATTTTTCGTTACTCTTAACAGTAATCATCGTCTATTGTCTTATAGAAAAACGAATTCATTAAAGTCACTTACCTAATCGGTTCTTATGACATAATTTGATGGAAAATCCTGAAGAATCCAAAACTTTCACTTGAATTTTGAACTGCTTTTTATCACAATGTCAATAGCTTTCGTGTTGTCAACCTGTCAAATTCTTGAAATATGCTGAATTTTTGGGATAAATATGCTATTAGAAGATAATTATTTAAAAACTGATCAGATCAAAGTAAAAAAGTTTACTTTCTTTTCGTAACTCATTTTAGTGGGTATAGTAAATGATTGTATACGAATTAATATAAATGAATATGTATATTAAATAAACAACTTTCACAGAATTAGTGATTAGAAGTTTGTAATTATTCATTGCAACGTGATTTTATAAATAAATTAGGTCAAAGTAGGATAAAAATAACAAAAAAACCCTCCGTTATGTTAATAAATACAATAAGAATAACTATCAGACACAGAAATGTGTGTATAATGCGATATAAGAAAAGTTGTCTCTTGTCAAAGATCAATAGTGAGATAAGAGTCAAAAATCCAAAAATTTTCTAGTATCTAGTTTATATGCTGAATTCTAATACAGAAAGAATATTAAGCACTCGTTAGTCAGATTATTATTTGACAAAAT